TTAAAAAGAATATTGACATGATATTTTCTGTTTTTCGAATGACACGCGGACTTAGAAGGTGTAAAGATAGGATTTTTTAACAAGCCCAAACTACACTTCTTTCCGCCCACTTTCATAAGGAATCCAGAGTTGGGGTCTCGGGTGCAATGTCATGAGTTCATCGTAGGTCACAGGTGAACGGTACAGGTGATTGAGTTTCGCAATTTCAGGTCTCGTTTGAAGTCGCAAGCTTCAGGTGTCACGCCACGTGGGGGATTGATAAGATATAGTTATTACGCAATATTACTTCATAAGCTCTTTGTGTACATCCTGGATGTTGGTTTTGCCGAGGGCACAGGTGAGATTGGAATAAATTATTGTTACAGCAATACACGTACAACTACCTGATGTTTAATGAATACCTGCATGTAGTACGACCATACAATACCCTATGCACCACCAATTAAATACCCTAACCAGCTTTGATAACTAATTATAGACAACCTGTATATAGATCTTATTTTTATTTCTTTTAAGAATATGCAGATATAAAAAGGTTTATAACAGATGCATTTTTTTAATTGACTTCTTGAGATGGAAAAGTAATATTCCTGTATGCTTGCAAGTCTATAACTTCATACCGTATATTCGGCTATAAAAGTTCGCAACATGAAAATGTGAAACGATAAAACTAACTTATTTATAACAAAATAATTTCCGCAGAAAAAAATTGACAGACATGAACCACTGATATACATGCTCCTGATTTGAGACAGGCACATTCACAATGTGTCGATGCGGGGATATATGTTTGTGAGCGCCTAACCCCCCCCTCCAAACGTGTGATAGCGGTCTTACAGCATAACATAAGAACTATAAAAACCAGTCTAACTCAAAAGATCGGTACGAAGTACAGAAACAGTCAAACCACTAACGTAAAAACAATAGAGATAACGCACAAATAATGTAAGCTAGATCAAAGCCAAATACAAATAATACATAATTCATGTATTCGAAGACTGAAGTATGTAACATGTAAACATTTTCATGTTCAGTACGATTGAAAATTTAACATCTTTTCAAATGACCCCTTTTTGAAGAAATATTAAGTTGTGAATATTTTCCTGGACTCAAGCATTTTGCTGGTAGCAATAAACAAATTGATTGCTAAATGATATTTGGAAGAGAAGGGTGGAAATGTGTGAACTTGAATTTACTTTGTGTAATTCCTTAAATTTGAAATAAGATTTATAAGGGTTTGGATGGAATTGCAAACTTTAGAAGTGTAATATAACTATATTAATTATTTCAACATAAGACTACAGTAGTTCAAGGTAAATAACATAACACGCGACTAAATCACACTACAGGTGCCTTCTTACATTTCACCTGGTCAGGTATGCTATAGGTGTCAAAATTTAATTACTAATACAACAGCCTCCGATTAAATGTTTTGTATTGTTTAATTTTATACATAAGGTGAGACGTAAATAAAATATTGAATTGAATTGTTTACATAAAAAGGGGGAAAGTAATAAAACTGTTAATTGAATATCCTAATGCAGAAAAGTGTGATAAAGGATTTATCACTATACAAATCCTTGGCGTGATGTATGGTTTCCAACCAATGCATAACTTTTGGTGATAGTTTATACCTATTAAAAGTATCACCGTAACCAAAACAAAGCAAAACAAAAAACGTACCCTTTGCGAACGCATAATTTTCCTTTTACTATCTTTTTTTTCTCTTTTCTTTCTGCTTCGGGCGCACACATAATTATAACATTACCGTAACAGAGAGAAAAAAAGAACAATTTGATCATCAATAATAAAATTTATATTTTGAATCATGATTAAAAGTAGTTTTATTTGAATAAATAAAAAATGAGGAAAGCGGTTTATTAAATTTATTCATCAGACAAACCTATATGACGAAGTCGATACACTATGGACGGTATTGAAAGCACTTTTTCCGATTATTGACAAACTACAAAGACAGTTGACCTCATCAATTTGAGCCATTGTGTGTAAAATAACCAAGAAAAGGATATTAATTCTTCATGCGAAAAGTCCAACAACGACGATCTTTCAGACAATACCGATCGGATTGTTACCACAATAAGAGACATTTTCCCAGCTTGTAACCATTGACGTAAGCACGATCACGTGATCGTTATCTAATTAAAAATCATTCATTATGACAAGCGCTGGATTCTTTGACCTAAAAAATGCCGATTGGTCAGGTTTTGACTAGCAAAATTGTACAAAATATGTTTTAAGACTAATATTTATCAATTTAATAAAACAAAAATAATTAAAAAATCGTGTCACGTCTCCTTTAAATAGATATAAGAAGATGTGGTATGAGTGCCAATGAGACAACTGTCCATCCAAGTCAAAATTTATAAAAGTAAACCATTATAGGTCAAAGTACGGTCTTCAACACGGAGCCTTAGCTCACACCGAACAGCAAGCTATAAAGAGCCCCAAAAATTACTAGTATAAAACCATTCAAACGGGAAAACCAACGGTCTAATCTATATAAAAAACGTGAAAACGAGAAACACTTATGAACCACATCAACAAACGACAACTACTGAACATCAGATTCCTGAATTAGGACAGGTGCAAACAAATGCAGCGGGTTTAAACGTTTTAATGGTACCAAACCTTCACTTTAAAAGCTACTTTAACGTCATAAGATATTTTCATTCCAAATAAAGGGCCACTGATGGGCAAAGATAAATAAATAATTTCTCCGCTTAGAAAAAAACGCCCCCCTCCCCCCATACAAAAACATAAAACAAAAAACAACCGAGAGAGAGAGAGAGAGAGAGAGAGAGAGAGAGAGAGAGAGAGAGAGAGAGAGAGAGAAAACAATAGTAATTTAAAAATCAAAACTATTCTTATACCAAGAAAAGTGAAAAAATAATTAAAAATCTTATTTAACATATACTTCTTACCACGTTTCTGCGACATAATTTTTTTTCTGTCCACACACCTCCTATATCAGATCAAGTATGAACTAAACTCCCACAAAAATTATTTAACAAATCTATGTGACATATAAGTACAATGATTTGTCGAGAGATAAATAATTAGTTTGAGGATATGTCCTTAATGAGCCTCTTATATTATCTTGTTTATGTATTAGAACCGTTGCCCCATAGATTTTCTGCACGTGATCAGGTCAAGTCCGAGGCGATAGCCGATGACCTTGACCTGACTGAAAGTGCAGAAAAACTATACGGCTGGTTGTTACCATCCCGTTTATTTTGTTACTTTTGTTTTGTATCTGACTTGTACGACGTTTTTAATTAGAAAGTAATACTTTTTGCATTTAAGACGGTTGCATAATTAAAAAGATTGAACACAAATAATTTGCACACCGGTTTATGTACCACGATGTTTGAGATATTTAGTCTTTAATAAATTAGGGATTTTGCGTTAACACTAGCGCTTCTCAATTCTATCAGCTGTGTGCAAGTGGAATTATTGCGTATTCCTTTGATACATATCAGTGAAGTAGGAGTAGATTGAAAAGTTGAGAAAGAAGGGGGACTTCTTAAAGTGACAAGCAAAAAACAAAAGACCTTTAATCTATATTTTCTATCATAATAGTCTAATAGTCTAGAAATAAGTTAATGTCCTCTTTCGTAGCCATTTTATATTTTAATAATAAAAATAATTGCCAAAGAGGGGGGTGTATTATAGTTTTACCCCTCACCTTTACAAGTGAGTTATGCGGTAATGGTCCCCTTTCCCGGCTCCTACACCCCTGCATTGATATATACCCCTCTACACCTAAAAAAAAAGCATACATACGTACAAAAAAACAAAGCCAAACAAAGAAATATGTTTTGCCTCCTCCATCCCCCATTTTGAAAGGGGGAACTGCCCCCTTTCCCGGCTCATACCCCCCCCCCCCAAAAAAAAAAAGAAAATAAACAACAAAAATATGAAACAGATATAAGACATTTAAAAATTCAACGACGTATGGAAATGAAAAAAGAAAGAGTAATCAGACAAACATATATACAACACGTATAAATATTGTCAAAATCAATAAAAAAAAGAACAAAATATATAAATATAAAAAAAGATGTTTTTCTGTTTTATGGGGAATAACATTCAATCAACATACTATATTTTGTCTTGTTTTAAATTTTTTTAATCTACTTATTTTGGAAATCAATTTTTTTTTGTGTTTAATTTCATGCTCATTACAGTAATGTGATATTCGAGTAGACTCAAGTATTGATCATGTGACACAATATTTTTTTTTCATTTTCCATCCCTGTATCCCAAATGGGTGGACATTTATTGACGTTGAGACTGATTTTGTGCTATCACAATTCGACTTAAGCAAATTCATTGAAATTGAAGAGAAAAGGGGAAATCCTCCGTCTAGTTCGATTTAGACGATTTAAAAGATTTCAGCTTAAGGTTCCACTAAAGTCAAAATATAGGACACTTCATAAACATCTAAACTTTGCCTGTATTTTTCAACCTATAATGAGTAAAGTCCTAAACTATGAGAACATATGTTCATTTAAACATACTTAACATATACACACTGTGTAAATTGTAAATAAACTTGAAATTGTTATGTTGTGGCCAAACCGGTTCTTGGGGTGAACACTTAATTTTCTAAAAAATCTGGATACCTGCGAGACGACTTAATTTGTTTAAAATTGGTATGGACGAATACTGTTATATCTAATGCAGGGCCGAAGTGTCCTATATTTTGACATTAGTGGAACCTTAACTGCTACGCAAACCCACGAGATGTTTGTACATGGAAACATTCTATGGTTTCAGTTACTCTTGCAGTCAGTAACTTCGTAGACACTTTATTTAACTTCAGCATTTTGGGACATAGTTAGCTTTTTTATAATTATGATTTTTTTGAAAACTTTTCATATAAATTATATTTATAAAACAAGGTAACTATGTCACAAGGTGTACGATAAAGAGCCTATGAACTCACTGAATGCGCAAGTGACTCTATTAATAAAAAGTGTCCGTGTAACACCCGTTATTGTACTGTTTTTCTATAGCTCTGCTGGGGGCAAAGTCGTACAAATAATTTGAAGCCATTGAATTATGCAACGTGTTGTTTACTGTTAAGTTATATAAGTGCTTTATATAACTCAAATTTATGTAAACGAAAAAGGTAAGAAATTGCGTTTTATACTTTTAATTTATTACTCATTTCGTCATGATAAAAAGTAAGTATGCTCTTTTAAAGTAAATGATTTATTGACGAACGAATGTAAAATAAAAAAAATGGGGTTTATTTATTAATTAGCACATGGCATAGGCAAAATATCTATCTAACCGTGCTATAATCAACAGTAAATTCGGTCCGGTAGAAAATTTTGTCCCCTGGACTTTTTTCCTAGGTAATCAAGTCCATGAACATAATTTTCCTAGGAATGTAAGTCCCAGGATAAATTTTCCTAGGAAAATAAGTCCATAGCTTGAAAAATATGTCTGGCACTCTTTTCCTTATAATAAAGGACAAGGACTTTTTTACCTAGGGATATTTATGACATGGACATGAATTCCTATGAAATTTAGTCTGGGGACATAAATTTTATCAAAAGATTAATGCAAAACTGTTAAACAAATTATTAAAACATAAAAATTAAAAACTCCATTGTTTACATGATTTCTTTCCTAGAAAAATAAGGGGTTTACTACTGGTTTGCCCACATTTAATTATACCAATTATCTATTAGTTGAGAAAACAAAAAAAACCAAAAGGTTTAATGAGCATACAATTGTATAGTCTGTTCCAACTTTATAGGTACATAGTTTATCTGTGTTTTCTATATATTCAGGTATTTTTCATTTTGTAGTTCCACTTTTATTTGAATAGATAAATAATATATAAATCAAATATTTTTTTCACAATAATCAAATATCAATTCAATCTATTCATTTAACAGAAAACTAACATGACTAATAATAAAATAATGGCATTCATTTATATAAAAGTGTCTTAATAATTGGTCAGTATATAAATGATTATGATATAAATACATCAATCTATGCTAAAGTTTTCTTTATAATTACAATTTATATTACTTATGAATCAAATTTATACATGTATTGCATAAGAAAATAAAACAAAAGCACTAAGGTAAAAATAAGTAATATGGGTTACTATATGTATAATGATAAAAAATACAACATTTTATATATATTTCAAAAGTAACAAAACATTTATATATTATCAAAGTCACAAAACCTTTTATTTACAAAGTCACTAAGTCACAAATTACAATATTTCACAAAGTCATTCAATTAAAATGAAGAAGATAGAATGCTGAGTCAGACTAGTCTATCACGTTGATAAGTCCGTGTTAGTATCTGTCTTTCAGTAGTTGGAGGCTGGTGTCTATAACTTTGTGTCGTCGTCTTTTTGGTGGACAGGTTCCTCCTGCTGCATACTGGATAATGGTAGAAGAAGAGATAATGCTTAAAACATAAGGATCATAAATATAACTTAGGATTATCATAAGACCATCCTGATTAGGAATATCTTAGCTTAGATTAAGTCTTGGAAGTTTCCTAGTAAGATGGTCCCATGCATGATAGTCCTTAAATCTATCATAATAATTGTGACGACGTCTGACAAAAAGGGCCCAAATGCGGCAAAACGTAATTTTGACTATGACGTTGCAAAGTTAACGTTGGCGAGCACCTGCAAAAATTATTGTTCGCTGCCTAAAACAATATTATTTCACTAATGTTATCAAATGTACAGCTTACCATGTGTGCGTATTTCGTAATTGTCTTTTTTTATCAAAATCCGCAACATTTATTTTAGCACGATACCGTATATTAGTCTGTTCAATGTTATAAGTTACTTCCCTAACCGAAAACGAAAGTTGACAAAGTGAAAGAGTCTGAAGCTAGTTTTGTTTCATTTTGCTAAAGTATCCCATCGGCATCGGAACTATTAAACAGATAAACATTATGAGAGTTTATTGAGGATTACGGATTGTTGATGAAATATATTTTGCCCAGATAGAAAGTTCTCAACGTGATAATCTAAACGATGATGTTGGCGCTGTTTAAAACATGTGAATCTGATGACGTCGTGTCAATGCAGGATGGTATTTTTATACAAACAAATGGAGAAAATCGGGAATGTATGAAATATATGCCGTAGAAGTGAAATACAAAAGTGTTGGTTTACGCTCTTTCTTACATGTCTAAAGATTTTCAAAAATTGTGGTGTCAGAACCATGGACTGACAACCTGATTTACCTGATAAATACAGTACACATGGACATGTTCAGCTAGCAACAGAAAAAAGGGACTAATGCTCTTCTAGCAAAGAAAACTTTACCAAACTCCAAGGTGACAGCCAAGATACAGGTAATTATATTGAATAATTAAATCAGATTAAAACACATTAAATTACATGTTTGAATATTTAACATTTTCTGCTAACATTTATCTTGTTTTTCATGTTTATTAAATAACATTGTTAAGTAAAATCAATAAAGTTTGTGATAACTCAGGTTGTGTACCCCTCTCAACAGCTAAAGTATGACATGTATCCATTAAGAACAAGAATGTAAGCATTATATACATGTAATACATGTATGTATATTATATGCATTCAAAATTGTACTTTCATTTTGATAAATATTACTTTCAATTTTAATATGCAAAGCATCTGTAGAAATCTATGTACTCATTGAAATTAATAAAATGTTATTGACTAAATCATTTATGAATTTAGATGTACCTTTTTTCCAAACTGCACAGATGTCATAATGATGTTATAGCATGTACATATAGACTTTTTATCATGTTTATGATGAAAGCACAACATTGTAGCTATAGTTTAGTATAAGTATAAAAAGAGTGTGATAGCTAGTTTTCTCTGAAATTGACAAATCATAAATATATTTTCTAAAAAAATTAATGCATCAGATGTTTAAGAACATGGTTAAAGTTAAATTTACAACACCTATGAATTTAATTCCCAGACAGATAATACTGACAGCACCACTCTGAAAACTGCATCTTTATGTTATAGTCTGAATATGCATATTATACTGCATATAGTATGACTAGCATCTACATATTTATGCGTATTATACCAGCATCTACATGTCCTTAAAAATATACACATTTATGAAGTGGCTTTATTATTTTAGTCATAAAATTTCATCTTGTTTAACTCAACGTATAAACTGTCCTTTTAACTCAGTTTAGAAGTAAAAGTTGAGTTAAACAACACAATTTAATATATACATGTACATGTATGTTGTCTCTTTTTATCTTTTGTCCTTATGTAAGTGTTTTGTGTGCCTCCAACAGATCTTTGAAGTTAGGCCAATTGCTACTGTTTTTTTAGTTTGTTCATTTGTTGGGATGTTACACCACCTTCCCAAGTTGGGGAGAGGGGATTGTTCCAAAGTTAGTAACCTGCAGTTCAGTGGTTGTCTTATGATCATATTTGTCACACTTGTTTTTCCTAATTGTTTTGTTATGAATTAAGCTCTTAGTTTTCTTGTTTGAATTGTTTCAAATTTTTTATGCTCTGGGCTTTTTATTACAGCCAGTAATAAAGTATGGTTTTTCCTCATTGTTGAAGGCCGTACAGTGCCTTAAATTGCTGAATGTGACTTCATTTTAATTTTATTAGATACTTGTCACATAGGCAATCAGACCACATCTCCTCATTTTTATATAAGGTACATATTCATTTTTTATCAGGTTTCAGGAAAATGTTTAACATGTTTAAACACATTTTCACCTAAGTGCAATGCAGTACATTTAATGACATTAATTTCAAAATTGTGTCTTTTTAAAAAATTATACTTCTCAACTGAGTTAAGAAAAAGTAGGACCAGATAAGGTTTATGATCTAAAATTCAAAGTGATTTTTTATAAGGACATGTAGATTCCAATAATATTATATGCATAGTTTTTTTTTTACTTAAAAGCATTTTTTTATATATAATTCTTATTTCATTAAAATATTTGATTTTAATATAGATACTAAATAAAAAACCAGAATGAGTTCATTTATTATAAACAAAAAACATTCACATTAGTTTTTCTTATTTTGGCATAATCATGACAATTCAATAAAGAATTTAAAGAAGTGTATCAAGGATAAGAAAGACTATTTTCGGTTATCATCATAACATATCTTATTCCTAAATGTGCTTACTTTTACAGACTACCTTAAGTTAAGGGGCGGATCCTGGATTTCTAAAGGGGGTGTAATTCCCAATTACAGATTACCCCAAAAAATGTGTGACATATAAAAAGTTGTGGATGATTTTATACTATAATTTATATATATGGAGAAAAACAGGATTTTTTCAGCAATCAAAGGGGTGTGTTGGGGCGGGTGCTTTAACACTCCCTCTTGACCCCTGACTCTGTCAATGAGTCTTATAACTGTGGCACTGATTAACGATATAAATATAATTATTCAATTGAAAGATTATACATGTATGCATTATATATCCATTGCAGGAAAAAAAGCATGTTGAACCCTTTTTGAATGTAGTGGCTCTTCTGGCTACTTTTAAAACATACTGTATGTACAATATTTTTGATGATGTAAAAGCATTTGTATTTTATTATTTTGCAGATTGCAGATAGTGTCATCAGTAGAAAAAGCCATTATCTTGCCCAGTTAGTCCGGGATACTACTGATACCAGAAGGACTGCTTTATACCTTGATATTTTCCTCAATATTGGAACAGATGGACGACCTCACACGAAAATCTATGATAAACGGGACGATTTCAACTTCCCAATTATCAATTTCCCATTTCTCAGCAGTAACATACCCTCTGCCCCTTCGTATGGTGTTTACATATCTCAATTGATACGTTATTCTCGTGCTTGTTCACACTATACGGACTTTATATACAGGAGTGTGCTCCTTACGCAGAAACTGCTGCAACAAAGTTATGAGGAGGACAGATTAAAAATGACACTCCGTAAAATTTACGGACACCATCACGAATTGGTTGATCCATACGATGTGTCTTTGTCCAAACTAATTAAGGACATTTTTACCACGTGTTAGATTGTGGTTTGTCATTACGTCGTCTGATCTTTTGATTACCGCACGTGACTTATTCCCGATTGTGACTGTTTTGCTGAGTGTGAAACCGCATTGCTATAAGACGTGTCACGGTACTTTTCTATCCCAAGTTCATGTATTTAATTTTGATGTTATATTTGTTATTCTCGTCGGATTTTGTCAAATGTCTTAACGTCTTTTCTGTTATATTCGTGTGTTATGGTAAAAATAATTAATCACTCCCTTCATTTATTAGATTTTAGTTTGGTTCAACGAAATTTATACGATATATTTGGTTTACGGTTTGATTCAGAAAAAACACCGACATAGCTAGATAATACAATTGATTATCTAATTACTACCACAATTTTATATTAATAAGTATTGTAATTTTCATTGTTATTAATAAATGTAATGTCAGTATTACAAATCTAATATTGAATCAATCCTAATCCTATCTTATTTTTGGGAAATATTTTTACAAATTCAAATGTGACGTCACTTTGTGTGTTTTTTTAGAATTTCAAATGTGACGTCACTTTGTGCGTTGAGGCTTTGGCTAACTCGGCTGTGTATTTTTATGTGTTGGATTAAGTTGTTTTATGTAATGTATCCGTTTTTATTCTGTAGTTAGTCCCCACTTCGGTTTTATCATGTATATCTATTATATAGTCATTTTATAAAATTTACTGTTTGCAAAATTATAAATTATTCTAAATAATAAGAATGTTCTTGTCCCAGGCAGAAAACCCTGGCCGTGTTAGGGGCAACTTTTTGGAAGTTTTGGTCCTCGGTGCTCTTCAGCTTTGTACTTGTTTGGCTTTCAAACTTTTTTCATCTGAGCGTCACTGGTTTGTCTTGTGTGGACGAGACGCACGTCTGGCGTGTTAAATTTTAAGCCTAGTACCTTTTGTTAGCTATTATTCGTGTGTTTCTTTGTCCTATATGTTCTTCCATTTTTTTTGTATTGTGGTCTTGTCATGTGATGTTGTCGTTTTGGTGTTGTGTTTGACGTTGCCATAAAAGCGTGAAGTTTGGCATGCCACAAAACCAGGTTCAACCCACCATTTTTTTCTTAAAATGTCCTGTACCAAGTCAGGAAAACGGCCATTGTTCTATAATAGTTCGTTTCTGTGTGTGTTACATTTTAATGTTGTGTTTTTGTTGTGTCGTTGTTCTCCTCTTATATTTAATGCGTTTCCCTCAGTTTTAGTTTGTAACCCGGATTTGTTTTTATCTTTATCGATTTATGAGTTTCGAACAGCGGTATACTACTGTTGCCTTTTTTTATATGGAGAAACCTGTCATATATTAAAATTGGAACCAATACCTTCAGCAATATTTTAACACTGCAGCATATAATTACATGTCACCATTTTATTGTTGATTCATCAAAACACATATGTGTATTATCATAATATCATGTAAAGAATCATGTGACTCATAACCTATTATCATCAATATGTTTATAAAGAAGAACACTATAATTCCACCATCTATTATGCCAAACAACTTACACACAAAGGATAAAATGTAGCAAGACCATAGTATCTGTATTAAATCCGGGAATATTGCTATAATGAAACTAGTAATGACATAGTCTGTCCAAAACCAACCATTGCAGCTATAACTGTGGTTGATTTGACCGATGAAGGAGAATCTAATAAACGCTAATGTCCATCAAGATCAGAGCTTTTTATGAAATAAAATACTAAAGTTTGTTTTGTCAACTATTCTATTTTTTCTTAAAATTTGGAAATATTAAATTCTCAAAGCTAATGTCACCAACAAAATCAAAAAATTGTTAGTTGTTGATATATTGACCACATGGCAGAGAACTGGTATATTCTGCACTTGGTACAGACATTTTCAATAGCAATGCAAAGTTCAAGTTATTATTTCATTTAATTTCGGGGAAAAATCCGATTGAAGTTTTGATACATTATTTTAATATACCACATAAAAAACACACATTCAAAACATACTATAACGAAAAGCAACTCATTGGAAACCAACCAAAACTTAAAACAGTACACTTAACTTGAAAGTACCATTGTGAAAAAAAAATACAGCTTTAGGGACAATGACATGAAGACAGTACATTACAGCCAGAAACAACACATAAAATATATGTAAAATTTAAGACATTTGGAGAATATGAAAAAAAGTTTTAAAATATTGATTGCTTTGTTTCCGTCGAAACCACTTATTTAACACATACATATTCCACAAAAACCAGATTTTGGTCATCAATATAGATATTCAATTCTGGCGTATTTAAATATAATACAATATTGAGGTGGAACACATTGCCAACATTCCAATTACCAAAGAAAATAATTAGTCAGAATTTTGTTTGAATTTCCATATTTTTCTGATTATGTATTATGTACCCAAATGCATGTCGAATATGAACAAGCTGTATTTTCGAAACCAGTTGAGATATCATCATAAAATTTTGTATTTATGGTAAGCACGTTAGTAGCATTGAAAAAAATGCAAAAAACTGAAAATATGTATAAATCTCATCTGGACCCATTTTCTCAGTCACGGTCACATATATGGCGCAGGGCAAGTCCTAATAAAATTAATAAAAGTATACTAAGGATTAAACTAATTTTTCTAGAGATATTGATATGTAACTAGGCCGCTGACTCACAAACTGTTCATAAAAATCCTTCGGACAACCATATCCCTATTAATATGTACAAACAGCATCTCCATTAATATCAACATCATGAATGTATGTAACTTACAAAGGCGATTACAAAAAAAATGTAAATGATTGCTTCGAATTATGAAATAAAATAAAGGTTGCAAAAGTGTTCGGGACGGGAGAAAGGCTCCTCTCTAAACATGAAACCTTTTTGAACAATTTTTTTGGTAATTTCTGGGGACAAAATGAATGAAAATTTTAGAAACTCGAATAAACAAAGATAAGATTTGGATCAATTTTTGCTAAATGGAATTAATAAGGATTTTTTAAAATATTTATTCCTGTTTAGGAACTATTTCGAGAACGATTTAATGCGGTTCATATTTTAAGTATGTGCATAAAAATAAATAAGATTCATATCAATAGACTTCGTTCATCATTTGTCGTCGAATACAGTTGATAAATAAGGGGGAGGTATATTATGAAAAAAATATTACGTTTTTCTCTTCACTTTACCTTGTTCGATAAATTTTGTCTCATCTTTTAGATCTTTTAAAATGAAAGAATTAAAAGCACTTAATCTATACATAATAACCCTTTTAATTTATGATTTTGAAGTACATCAAACAGAGCTAAAACTGTTATAAAATCTTAACAGGAATTATAGATCTAAACATCTAAAAAGTCCAGTTAATTAGCCCTGTTCACTTTGAGATGATAAATGACTACTTGTCTTTTATAGATATTATAGGATGCCATATTCAATGCCAACGAACTCCCTCAAAGAAGAAAAATTGGCAATCGGTATCTTAAAAGTACAAGGAGCATTCAATAAACATCACGTAGCACTGCGCAAAGCACAAAAATGCTTAAATATCACTGACTTAGAAATTATTGGTGTAAGACATCCGGACCATGTATCCGACAAAATAGACGGCCTTTTAATTCCTGTTGGTGAAAGTACAACCATTAGCTTATTTCTGAAACGTAATAAAATGGACGAACCATTGCGGAAGTAGATTGATACGAAAAGTCACGTGACCTGGGGGACATGTGCTGGAATGATACTGTTATCGAAGCAGACAGAAAATCAGAAAATCGGCGGACAACCTTCGGTATAACGATAAGTAAAGCCACTTGTACTTTATATTACAGTATTAATTCTCACCAACCTGGTGCTAACTCTTGAATAATGTTGTCAGAATAAGTGAACATTTTCTGTAAGGTTCACCAAAAAATTAAAACACTTCAAGAATTCAAAATAATAACATTTGTAATCTTTCTAAATAGGAAATATTCTTTTCTGAAGAAAACATATACCTAACGTTTTGCATGCGCGTATGGAAACCACAATATTATAAGCCGTACACGCGATTTATCAGAGCGCTTGGTGATAAATAAACTCCGTTGAACATTGATAAAAACCACCAACCATTTTTTGAAGACACAATCTCATTTGCAACCTTCCAGCTGGTTGGAAATTTGCATTGTTTCGGGTACTAATTAGAAAATTTTATTTCTTAAGGAATTGCTACTTTTTCAGAAGAAACTTTCAACATTTCATGGCTTATGACAGCAGGACCAGATGCCTTGTTAGGATATAAAATTTTGATTTTTTCAAATATTTCATCTGTTTCAATTACTAAGTTATATTTAAGTATTGGGGCGTGTTTTAATGGTCTCTTCTGTACATCTCCAGAATTTCTTCTGGTGAAGAGTCCAAAAAAAAAATGAATCTGGACCTCTTCTGGAGATATTCTGTAGAAGAAGAAATAAAACACAAATTCAATTTGACGTCGAATATAGCAGATTTATTTTATGTTGGATGACATAAATGAAGTTTACGATGATTTATTAGAAAATTTAGTTACGTCAGTTCATTCGGTAGACATGACTGTAATAGTGTTCTCTGTTTTGGTATTGATGTAATTATATGAGAAGTGTAAAACAAAGAAACTTGGTTGGACGAAATCGCTGTGTTCGTGACATTTTTTCTTTATGCTTTCCCAACTTAATTTAGCTTAACAAATCCGACTTAAAGCTCCGACCATTTGATTTTCAGGAATAATCTTAAACTGTACAAGAATGTATCTATGTTTTTCTGGTATATGATCGAAAATGACATCTTGTCTATCAAATTTTTTTAAAGTAACCAAACTGGATTATTTTTGTATATAAAAGATATCGCAGAGTTCTCACAATCTTTTTTCCCTGGTGGTCCTTGAAGAAAATCTGCTGATACTAATTATTATTTTATTTCTAATTGCAACTGATTTTTACAGTTTGTTCTTATGTTGTACTGTTACACCACTGTCCAAGTTTAAAGGAGGGTTTAGCGCTCACAAACATGTTTAACCCTGCCATACTTTTTTATGTGCCTGTCTCAAGTCAGGAGCCTGTAGTTCAGTGGTTGTCGTTGGTTCATGTCTGCCGACTAATATTTGATTTTTTTTAACCGATTTGTTATATATAATAAGCTATAGGCCGTTAGTTTTTTCGTTTGAATTGTTTCATATTTTTCATGTTGGGGGGCCTTTTATAGCCGACTATACGGTATGGGTTTTTGTCATTGTTGAAGGCCGTACGGTTACCTATAATTGCTTACATCCACTTCATTTGAACTCCGGTGGATAGTTGCCTCATTGGCAATCATACCACATCTCCTTATTTTATATAATATACCTGACTTTTTAACTCCTTTATTCTGAACATGCATGAAATAATTGTAACTGGACGTTAAAAATAACCAACCAACAATCGATCAATTTAAACTCGTGTTAAATAAGGGGAAAACCATTTGATATTTTTCTTTTTAGGGCGGGGTGGGGGACAGTAGGAATTTGAATATGAATACGGTGGCCTGGTAAGAGCTGACAAAAATAGGCATGCTTAGCGACAGATTATAATGAATAATAAATCCGCAAAAAATCCTCCTGCACCCTCCCCCCCTCCCCCCCCCCCCAGAATATCAAATAGTCGTCCCTTACTGTTATTGTCCGTGTAGTTCTATTATTTATACAGCTTATCACAGGGATGTCCTACTAAAGCTGCCGTATCATAAAAAGTTTATCACGAAGCTAACGTTCTATTATATCTGCATTCATAAATTATTAATGTCTTTATACTAAACTGCGCCATGTTTGTTTAGTGCCTCTGCCGTTTAATCTACCTGTTTAAAATGAAGAGGTAGAAGAGAGACGGAAGACCTTCCCAATTTAAAAAAAGAGAAATGGACCTCTTCTGGGTCACTACAGAAGAACAAAAAAAACACGCCCTTGGTTCTTGGTCAAATTTCAGAGATAGGAACACTTCTCCCCTCTAGGGAATAAATCAGACAAAAATATTTATTCAAAAGATAGCATTTCTCTTTGTTTTCAGGAATAATTATAATATTATTAAACGAGGGGCCTCGGTGACCGAATAGTCTTAGTAGTCGAACTACTGTATCACTAGCCTGTCAACACTGAGGTTATTAGTTCGAATCCCTTTCGTGGATGGTGTGAACAATCGTAATTGACTAGCTATAGGATTGTCAGTTTTCCTACTGAAGGCTACCGAAGGTTACCGAAGGTCTGTGGTTCTCTCTGGGCACTCCTGCTTCCTCCATCAATAAAACTGACCGCCACGAAATAGAACAATAGTGCTGAAAGTGGCGTTAACACAAATCAATAAATCAATCAATATTATTAAACGAGGGTATATCACAAGAACTTTAATGACAATTTATAAGCATTTTCCAATAAGTTTTGGGTAAGTCACATTGTTTAAGTTGATATTATTCAAGTTTCTTTCGAATTTTTCTTTTATAGCTTTTTTCAAATTATTCAATATATTCCTAATGCTTTGTATATCTGTTTTTTATCAAAATTTTGGTAAAGATTTTTAATGAAATCGTTTTCTTCTCCTAATTTCTTTTCTTGTATCATTCTCAAACTGTGGTTTGTCATTGTATGCCTATGTATTGATGTGATTTCCGAGTATAATCACCAAATAGATACGCCAATATTGCAAACACACAACTATCTATAACTACTAACTTACAAAATATCCTCTGATATATATCTGGTTGAGTTCCAATGTATTTCACATGCGTTTTCACTCCCGCCAAATCTCCAACTCTCGTAACCTGGTATCTATCCTAAAAACAATGTGCCTGTCCAGAGTTAGAAACCTGTAATCCAGTGGCTTTTTCTTTCTTTAATATAGATATAAGAAGATGTGGTATGAGTACTAAACGATATGAGTTTTGCTCGTTGTTGACCTGAAATGTTTTACATTCTTGCTATCATGTTTTTTGATGGACAGTTGTCTTATTGAAAATTATATCTATTTTGATATATACTCAATCTTATATATCAGATATCTTTTTAAACATTTACACTATTCATTACAGCTCTTTCGGTAAATCCAGTCATATTTAAACATTTATCTTGCAGTGGAAATAGACACACGATCTTTTAACTGATCACCAAAAGTGTCCAAATAATTTACTGCACTGGAAATATCTGTAATATCGTGAAAAACTAATAACAACACAAAACATTACTTAGCGATTTCTTTTCGGAGGAATGTTCATTCAAATTCTGATAAAAATTACTGTTTCTTTTCAAATATTTGTCAAATGCGAGTTAAAGTTAGTATACATAAATTGTTAGAGACTATAACAAATCTGTCATTAAATGCAAAACTTCTATGCAGCTAGTAGTATTGTCGTTTTTACTGCTTTAGTACATATTATATTCTGATAGCAATGTAAAGTATTGTTTTTTTATATTGGATTATTAAGTAATTTTCTTGCATGTTGCACATTTTTTTCTAAATACAAACGTTTAGGCGAAATATTTTGTTTAAAAATATGTACTACTTTCCAGTAAGGTCTTTTTGACCGGGCCCGATTTGATGGTGTTACATCTTACAAAGTCTATCCGAATTGTTTTGCAAATTACACTCTAACCAGTGCTAGGGGCCATCGTAAACCGTGCAGTGAGATGAGAGATTTTTTCCTCCATGTTGAAGGCCTCACTGTGACTTTGACACGAAGAATAGCAATACAAGCGCTTTTCCTTGGCTTTTTGTGTTTCTTTGCTGTGCATGTACTGATTTTGTGTCATGCATGGATACCCCATAGCATTTTTTCTATAATATTTTACCAAATAAGATATTATTAAAAGAAACTTACCTTGTATATTCATAAAAATCACCAAGAAACAGGTTAGTGCGATACCAAACATCTACAAAAGAGAGGTGGTATATAACAAAGGGACAGTCAAAATCATAAGTCGAAAACGAACTGACAATGCCATGGCAAAAAACGAAAAACGAAAAAATACAAAAAACAGTTTACAAAAAAGATAGAGCTACACGAACCGCACCAAAAATCTAGAGGTGATCCCAGGTGCTCCGGAAGGGTGAGCAGATCCTGCTCCACATCGTGTTGCTCATGTAAGTACAAACCCGGTGATAAGTCTAATTCTTTAAATATATAAACAGTTGGAACGGACTACAAACAGATACATATATATATATATATATATATATATTCTGTTTTTATATAAGTACACGTTCAAAAATAATCGAGCACAAGATGTATTGATGAGGATTTACTTCTTGAATCAGGTTAAATATTACAATTTTGAGATTCCCAAGGGTTGACTGAGATAATGAAATATAAATACTACTGAAATTTTTAAGTCCGGAAGTAAAACCCTTTCCAAAAGATGAGCGTCCGTTTGGCTGTGCGGGATGTATGAATACGCAACCAAGTCCGCTCAAAATGTGGACATGACATCATATTCCTCTTGACAGTCTTTTAGTGAGAGTTTCCACATTCTGCACATTAAAGAAATACTTGAACAACCCTCAGAGGGGTCTTAATGTGACCTGTTACAAAGCAAAATGTCTGCTTCTATCGAACATGTCCACCATTAAATTCCGTTCTATCTAACATGATGAACCTACCTATTTTATTAATTGTTTAATTCATTCTTGTCCCTGATTTACACGAAATATTTACTACTGGACGTTAAGCAAGTATCACTCAATGAATCAATTATGCGTTGATGTTCAAATATAATTTATTGGCAATGTATAGTACTTATTACACAGTTTGGTTTCTTGTGAGTCTATAACTTCACCCATATCTTTAGGTATCACTCTTTTCTATGATACAGTTAAGTCTTATGTACAGTCTTCGTCCTGAACATACATGTAATATTTGCCACTGGATGTCAAGCAACCA